GCCCTGGAGCTCCACACACCCCAAGCTCCCGGTGCCACCTGCCACCAGCAAGAGGTGCGAGGTGACAGCGGCCACCCCGTGCCCCCCTCCCCGTGCCAGGGGAACTGCCAGCACCGCCTCCATCCCTCCTCCCTCCCTCCCTCCCTCCCTGCGAGCCCCATGCTGCTGCAAGGAGGTAATATTTATAAATACGCCGTGTCCAGCCCCCAGCGCCCCGGCCCAGAGGCTCGGCAGAGGCACAGCTTGTGTGACCATCCCACAGCCCCACCATGACCATGGGGGACATCGGGAACATCCAAACTGGGAACACCCAATCCTTGTCCTCCCAGAGCACCCCAGGGCTCACCATCCCCCCTGGCAGCACCTCTCCCACCCAGCCAGCGCTGCTTTACCCGCTCCAAGAGCCCGGTGCTGTCCCCTCCTTTGTGCCAGGCTCAGCCCGGCACTTTCCTGCTCCGTGAAGGTCAAACTGGTCTCTCGGGAGCCCCCGCTGCCAGCCCAGCCCCTGGCCTGGCACGGTGCCGGGGCCGCCGGAGCTGCTCGTGGCCGCGGGCACGCTGCGCCGGTTGGGCTGCAGAGGAGCTCGGAGGTTTTTCCCATCAGGCTGGCATTTCTCCAGGCAAGCCCTTCATCTGGAGGATCCCCAAAATGTGCAGCCGAACCTGCTGGCACCCATCTTGCTCCTCCCTAGGGTGTGAAATGGGAGCAGGGGARCGCTCCCTGTTTGTGCCCCCTACTCATTTTCTCCATAAAATCCCTGTCCCACGCGGTTCCCCTGCTGGGCAGGAGCCAGCACCGCTGCCCTCGCTTGTCCCCGAGGCTCCAAGAACTCCCCTGGCCGTCCCCACACCGGGCGTTTCAGGTTTATCCGGAATTTGCACCCGTTTAGCCAAAGGAGAGGGCCGAGGCAGAGCACGGGGAGTTCCTTGGGAGCCGAATGCCCTCGAAGCTGAGGTGACAAAACCCCCGGGGCAATTCTCAGAAGAGGCTTCCAAGATAAGGTGGCACAGCCTGTAGGGACCGCGGGGTGTGGCAGGGAGAGACCTTGAACCCTCCGCAGTGAGCGTGGCCAGGTGATCCCACCCAGCGCCCCACGGTGCTGATCCCAACGCTCCCGCTCCGGCTCTGCGGGACTTAAAACCCTAAAACACCCCTCAAACCGCCACGTGCCTCCAGAAATGGAGGATCCCCCATTCCCGGTTTTCTCAGCCTCACTGGAAGGTGAGGAGCAGGTCCTAAAGTTCAATTCAGAGCACGGGATTCCTGCATTCCTGGGCTGAGCATCTCAGGGGACATCGGGCTGGAAAATCCGCACAGAAAACCCACTCTGACCAAAAACCGACCGAGTGCCAGGAGGAGGGACACGAATTTRGGATGGGTTAGGAAAGAGCAATTCCAGTGAGAGGGAAAAGGATGAGCACAAATCCCTGTGTCACAGCACCAGTGACAACCACTGGGAATCACCAGGATCACACCGCAGCTTGGCAAAGCTCACGGAGGCGCTGCCACCATGGCAAAGCCACCACGGGGTGGTGACAGAAAGCCTGGCACCTCTGAGCCTCCCCTGATCTTTTTTTGGGGTGTCAAACACCCAGCGCTGGCTTTTGGGATCCTCCTGGGATMCTCCCACGGCCAATCTGGGAAGTTGTCCTGGAGCAGCCACCACCAGCAGCGCTGCCACCATGCTGCCACCCACTTGGGACGTGTGATGGCACTGCCACCCACTGCAGCCCCACGCCCAGGACACGGCCAGTTCCCCCTGCCCACTTCCTCTTTGCCCGGGAAATGGGATAACCCCACACGGGGCAGTTACAAAACAGCTCCCATGGGGYGAGCCCACCCCAAAAACTGCAGCTGTCCCCAAGGATGGAGCACGGGGGGACGGGGATGTGGCAGCTCCGTTCCTCGCCAGGAAAGGAGGGAAAAAGAGCGGAATTGCTCCCCATTCCTGCACCCCACAATATGGGGGAACCAGAGGATGTTTTTCCCCTCAGCACAGCGGGTTTTTTGAGGGGATCTCCCCATCCCCATTTCCCTGCAGGACCTGCTTTTTCCACACCCTCAGMGGGGTTTTGCTGCTCGGGCCACCCCACCCTCAGCTCTGGGAGTGTCCCCCTTTTCCAGTGACCCACAAGAGGATCTTCCCATGTCCCACAACAAACAGAGGACYGGGGGACCAGGAACACGCACGTGCCTTGTGGAAAAAGCAATAAAARGCCTGGCTGGAATCACAACCCCATCCCAAACACCCGGATGCCTGGATGGCCCCGCTGCAGCCAGCTCCACCCCAGCCCGGTTTCCGACCGATAAGAGCGGCATCCCCTGGAAAACACGCGGGGCCGGCATCCCTCGGGAAGCGAACCCAGAATCCCGCAGGAAAACAACCCAGCATCCCTGGGAAAACACCAGCACGTGCTGGCGTGACCCACCACCCTGACCCCCACCCAAATTTGGGTGGGTTCGCATCTCCAGCCRCCCCCCGATCCCCGATTCTCACCGGTTTTCCACGCCGGATCCTTCCCGCAGCAGGTGAGCGAGAGCCGGCCGGGAGGAACCGGAGCCGTTCCCAGCTCCGGCCGGAGCAGCCGTGCATGAAGCCGAGCAAACATGGCAGGGAAGTACAGAGCAAGGGGGGAGGAAGAAAAAAATAACCCCCCCATGCCCCCCTTCGCTGCCTGCCCGGCTCTGTGTTATATAAAAAACACCAACTCCCCCCGTGCCCCAAGGGCCGGGAACGAGCGCCGGGATTCCTGGAAACGGGCCCTGCTTTCCCCGGACTCGCACCGGCTTTATTTATTTATCTTAGAAGAGCACAATAACCACCAGATTTTCTTCGTGTTTCTATTTTTTTTTTTTTTTTTTTTTTTTTTTTTTTTTTTTTTTTTTTTTTTTTTTTTTT